GAATGATTTATAGATTCGATAAGGCCATCAAAAACCGATCTATTCATCACCCGTTACATTGTCTCTTATGTCTTGAGGTGCGGAAAATCGGAGCAAATAAAATGAGATTAACGCGTCTCGAGGAGAGCGCCGGTTCGAATTTCAATCCGTTTTTCGGCGGAGAGAGGTCCCATTAACTCATAAATTTCTTGAGGGGATCTTCACGGGATTTTCAGAGATAATTACGAGTGAAATTGTAGGTAAAAATTGTGAAAATCATCATGATGTATTTTTGGTGACTAAAAAAATTTAGCTTCTTTGCAAGTTTAGGACAAAAATCAGTTGACAAGTTGATGAAACTTGGCATAAATTTAGGTTAATGGCTTCTGAGACATATACATGCGGAATTTTTTAGTTTGCGATTTGCGGCAATCATCAATATTATGTCAAAAAATGCTATTATAAAAACTCGATTTTCTCTATCTTAATTTTGAAAATTCACAAAAGGTTCAGCCAAGAGCACTTTTCTCTGACCGTTTCTCCTCATTTTTCAAAGTCTTTCGTCTGAAAAGATAGTTGAATATCTTGGCAGCGTATTCCAGTTACAAGCTGAAATTTTCAGAAGCTGATCTGTAGAAAAGATAGAGCAAACAAGCTGAATTTGAAGAAAATCGGATAGGGTCTCTTGGAGAAATTCAGATTTTTATATAATTAAGCAAATTTTGAACTAATGAATTTTTTCTTTGAAATAACGCTTGAGGTAGACGTAAAATACGCGTACCAAAAAGGAGTTTCGGAATAATAAAAACGTCAAGTTTTGGTCGTGCAGAGACCCATTTTCGACGAGAATTTTGTATTATCCATGACATGAGTGAGGAAAAATCAAAAAATCCCCAAATCTCCAAAAAAGTAAACTCGTCAAGCCCTAAATACTCAACTGTCCAACTCGCCTCTCATCCTCACCTCGGCTGACCACCGCCTGACCGCCCACACCCGCCAAAAATTACGAACCGCACACTTTTTGGGGGCCAGCTGACCAGAACAAGAGTTAATTCGAAGCGAAAGAGAAAGCGAACGCGACTGTTTTAAACTTTATTACCCAAACAGTGAGATCAGCCCCGAAGACAAAGTGTTTTAAAGCCGCTTGCGAGGCGTTGAGAGACTGGGATTCAAGGGGATCTGGGACATGAATAATGTCATGAATATGATGGATGGGAAAAGGAAAGGGATTTTTGTTGGCTATTGTTGAGTCAGCGGCTAATGAGCGATGTAATTGGAAGCGGAACGTTGCGTAAGAGCAGAGTGAAACTTTACGAAGATAAAGAAAAGTTTTGGAGGAATTTGGGAAAGAGAAAGCAAGACCATCAAGGATAATATCAAAGATCTTTTCAAATTTTGATAGAAAACACTTTTTTCTATTCTTTGCCGTGCATATGTGGCATTTCTAGCTGCCCTTTGGGGAAACAACCGAGATTTTTTGAACAAAATTGAATAGAAATTTTAAAATTGGTTCTATTTGAAAGTTCATCCATGAAAAAAATTTTTTCTCGACCTGAATGTCTCGGAGGCCTCTGCGGAGCTAGACCTGAAGTTTTTACGAACTGATATTTGGCCCAGATCTAACGTAGGCGCAAAATTTAAAGACAACCTGAGTATCGCATTTGCCACATCCTCTTGTTACTGGAAATCAAGGATGAATTCAAGTGTTAAACTAGAGAATACCAGCTTTCTGGAATATTTAAAAGCTCTCCTAGGCAAAAATAGGACAGGCGGGAACAATGCCAATTTCGTGGTGGGACCTTGTTTAAGGTGAGAAATCGACCAAAATCGAGGTAAAGATTACCGAAACACGATGACTTCCGGAAATCACAAGCAAAAATTTTTTACATACTAAAAATCCTTATCCAAATTTTGGCCAAATTTCCTCAAAGCCTGGTAAAATTTCCTTTCAAAATCATTTTTTGATTAGCCTAAAAGATCCCAAATTTCCCCACAATTTTCCCTACTGTACTCCAAAAATAAAAATCCGCCAACCAAACCGCATTTCCCACCCGATAAATTAGCAGAGGAAACACTTCCCAGCGTGACTCTCTGCGGAACGATTAGTGGCCAAAATTTGAAAGATTTGGACGTGCGCGAGGACACAGATGTTCCGAAACGAAGCGAAATTTGGACAAACGCTTTTTTGGGAACATAAAAGAGCATATGTTATTTGGGGCGCTTAATTATACGCAAATCGAGTAAGTGGAGTTGGAATTGCGGTAAATTCAAGGACAAATATGGCTGTGGAAGATCAAGCGGCGAGATAGGAGGGAAAGTTTGGTCATTTTTGGGGAGAGGGTGGGGTGAGAGGGAGATAGGATGGTGATTTGGGAGGAAGTATGGCAAGAGGGGACCAAAAAATTAATTTTTCCAAAAAGTCATCAAAATTTTGGAATTGGAAGTAGGCCAATTTTGGAAGGTTGGTTATTCTTGAAAATTGGCACAAATTATGATTAGAATTTTGGAAGACAATTGCAAAATTTTTGGACAGCGCTTTGCAGAAAACATCAAGATTTTTTTAAGTCGAAAATGGCCAAAAATCAAATTTTTTTTCAATTTTTTGTTTATAAAATCACTTAAAAAATCACCTTAAATTTGGAAATTTTAAAATAATGAGCAAAAATCCTCATCAAAATAGCTTTTTCTCGGATAATTGTGGAGCTGCCCCCAAATTTATACCATTCTGCCCCCAAACCCTTTTTCTCTTTTTCCCGACAAAATTCAGATGACCAACACCCATGAATTTTGCCTTCTGACCTCCCCAGAATCCTACGATTCCCCTACGATCCCAAGGATTCAGAATCGACTTATTCATCCAAAATTGGACTCCTCCCTGGACCCTCTTACATGACTGTTTCGTACAATAATTGGGCGAAACTTTTTCGGCTGACCTTTTCCCTTTCGAATAGCCGCCCCTTTACGACATAAATGCGGAATTCATTGGAGGCGCACCCAAATTAGTTTATGAAATGGAATGCGCGCAAAATCTGGGGGTATTTAAATAAGGATATTTGAATACGCTTTGGAAGGGTTTTAGAAGAAAAAACAAAAAATCTTGAAATTCTTTTATAGTTTCTGCAAAGCGCAAGCTATAAAAATCTGGCTTATGTGTGAAAAAATCAGCAAAAGTCACAGTAAAATTCGACAATTTTTTCATCGAAAAACTCTCCAAAAAACCCAAAATTCAGCGACAATCTAAAGAAAACGTCCAAAACTCCAGAACCTCTCAAAAAATCACTCCGTAAACAATAACTCTACAACAAAGATTCCATCGGAAAGCACGCCGAATTGGCCGTTTTTTATGTTTTTTGCTTCTGGCCGCCCCTTTTCGGGGATATCCTCGACAAACGAAGAATTATAACCCCCAGGGAATTTATCAAAAAATCCGCGTGAAGAGCGGGGTCGTGGAACAAAACGGGCATACAATATATACTGAGAGTGGCTGTAAAGGGCCGTAAAATGTAAAGTTATGGATGAAAAGTGGAACGGAAAGAGTGGGGGAGAAGTTTTTGCGGCTTGACTGGATTTGGGATTTATGGAAAATTTGATGATTTTTGGATGAAATGATGGTGGGGATTTGAGGAACGTTGGGACAAATTTAGAGCAGAGTGTTCTCAGAGATAGGAAAAATTTCTAATTCAAGTTTGCAGAAACGATCGAGATTTTTAGATCGAAAACTTGCTGAATTTTGATATTTCTTATTTTTAGGTTATAAAAGAGAGTAAAACTACGGCATAACTCTGAACCAGGAACACACAAAGAACGAGGATCGTATTTTACCACTTCTCTCTTCTAGATTTGATTTCTCTACGCTTCGAACATACCATAAATTTCATTTCAAAATTCGTAAAAACCCGAATTTTCGCAAAATTTTTGAGCTGAAAACTTTTTTGATGGCCTCTGCAAATCGCTATCTTACAATCGCAAACAAAGATGCCTTAGAAAATTCTGGTCCACTTTTTGCTATGTTTCATTAAAATTTGAAGTTATAATACCAAAAGATCTTCAGTCAAAAAAGTTAGAAAATAAAAAAAATTTGAAGAAAAAGCAGAAAAAAGAAAAAGTGAAAGCACAAAAAAAAATCACTCCAAGCTCACATCACTCCACTGTTTGCTTCCAAAAATATTCCAACAAGTTTATTGTGACACTTGAAATAATAGAAGTTTTCGAAGGCCAATATCACCGTTATACAAAAAAATAGAGAAAACTGAATGAAAGAGCAGAGAGTAATAACTTTAGGGGACCAGAGATTAGTGGCCAAGACGATTGAAAATTTCTTGTTTCATTTTTGAAGAAAAAAATTTAAATTTGAAAAAAACTTAAATTCAGTTTAAAAAATTGTAAAAAATTATAAAATTTCGATAGTAATACTTTGATTAGAGAGCGTGGTTGACAATAATCATTCATAAAAAGTTGTAATTTTGAACTTGCAATCAAAAAATATTTGAAAATCAAAAAAAATCGCCAAAATTCAGCAAAAAATCCGAAAAGATGCCAAAAAATCTTAGATTTCTCACTAAAAATCGGCTGCAAAATTAATAAAAAAACAGTCGGACTACTGCCGTTCCTTAGAGGGTAATCATATCCCAAAAAAATTTCCGAAAAAATATGTGAAAATCGAAAAAAATCGAAAATAAGACTTTTTTGAGTGCACAGTGCAGAATCTGAGAAGTTACAGTAAGCGGGGAGAGCGCTACAGTAAGAGGAGAGGAATGCGGTATGTACACAGTGCGAGGAAAAGAACCAAAATCGGGGGGATAATTGGTGTTGTGGTGGTGTGAGGTGAACATGGTACGAAGATACGACCATCCGACGCCGAGAAACGACCACAATACGAAACGATAGGCAAGCAATAGGGTGGAGAAGCGGGTCCAAACCGCCCCGCGAAAAACCGCGAATTGAGGTGAGTGCATTGTGTTGGGGGTTCTAGTGCTACCAGTGATACCATCCGACCCTTTCGGGGCTACCGTAACCTTAGCTCACCGTCCGTTTCCATTCGCCTGATACTGTTGATTGGAGGCGCCCTGATACAGCAGTGGATGATATGGTAGAGGCGTCTGGTTGCCAGACTGTGTGGGGAACGACGGCGTGTCCGATCGGCCCAATGTGCTACCGTAATCCGGCTCCTGCAACGAAAACTTGATTTCTTGGCATTCCGTTTCACCTACCGCAACCGGCGTCTCATCGCCGTATCGGTAGGGAGCGGCGTAGATTTCGGGCGCCGAGAAGCCGGAATGAGCGCTGGAACCCATCGAGTCGGCGGAGCTGGTGCCGTAGTAGTTGTTGTAGTTACCCGACCCTACACTACCGTAATTATTATAGGCGTAATTACTCTCGGAACCGCTTCCAGATCGCTTCAGAATCGACTTTGTGGCGTATTGGGGAGTCTGATTGGATTTGGCGCGGTTTTCCTGAAATTGAAAAGTTGATTTTGAGCTGGGACCTTATTTTACATAGGTGAAGTCTTATTGAAATTTAGGTCATAATTTAGTCATGAGAAGTAATTGAGGTGCTAAACTATGGTGTAACAGCTTTCTGGGGCATTTCACAGCCTTCCTGAGCACAAATATGGCAAACGGGCACAATGCCAATTTCGTGGTGGGACCTTATCTAAAGCGAGAAATCGACAAAAATCGAGGAAATGATGAGCTAAATTACTGGAACCAGGTCATAAATACCCTTTATTCCCTCATCTAACGCATTTCAACACTACTTTCCATCAAAATTTTATTGTTTTTCCACTTACATTCACCATGTTGTTCAAGTATCCAAAGTCCGCACCGCTCGGCTCATCCTCATCGGATGCCGTCTGCTTGAACCGTTGTTTCAGTTCATTGTCGAATGGCCTTCCCGGTACTGCTTTCGCCTTCTTTGGTTTCTGATAGTCTCCTTCGGCAGCTCGCGCCCGATTCGCCTCTCTTTCCAGGCGCTCCTGATACTTTCTCTCCGAATCCAAAACGACCTGAGGCTTCTTCCCGAAGATTGGCGAGATTGCATTCTCATTGGGGCTGCGGGAACGGGGCCGTTGTGGCGGCGGAGTGGGCGGCTTTTGGCGGACGATCTGCGAAGTGGGCGTGGCGCCGCGCGGACGTCGATAGTCGGACGCCTCGCTGTGCTGCGGAGTTGCGTTGTGATCCCGTTGATAGGGCGCTATTGGGCCATAATTTGAGCCTCGAGAGTAGTGATCACGGGAGGCGTATTCAGAGCGAGGAGCATAATGCGATTCGGAGGAGGGAGTGGGCTGACGGTAGGAGAAATCGTGTTGAGAATAGCTGAAAACGGGAATTTGTAATGCCCAGATTTGATTATAGAGGTGTAATAAGAGTGATAACAATATTTTGCGATCAATCAATAAACCAAAATTGGGCTGAAAACCAAAAGTAAATTATATTGTACTAGATGAAATTTAAATGAAAGTATCTCAAGTTTATAACCCCATATAATCCTCAAAGTAAGTCAACGCAATCTTCAAGGGTTCTAGATAACGTAAGTATTAAAACTTTCAAGGTGATACGTAAAAAGCTCTCTGAGATATTCAAAAAAATCGAAAAATCGAGATTTTTTGGAACTAAAAATTTTGAAACAACTTCCTCATTGGCTAAAAAATTCTATCAAAACATTGAATCCATCTTAAATCCACTAACCCAACAACTCACCCAAACTCTTCCATGGGATCCTGCACCTGCCTGCTTGGCGTCGCTCTCTGCCGACTTTCCGGCCGAATACTACCATAGCTACTTCCCTGCCCCGAAGGGAACAGAATGGTAGGAGTGGCGGATCTCTGCCTCACCAACGACGCCCGGTCCTGATCATACTGATAGGAGGGGGTCTTGGAACGGGTCGTCTTCTCCATGGCCTGCCGGTTCGCAATTCGGAGCTCATCCCGGGTCGGAGGAGTGGCTTGCGGTTGTTTCAGGATCGAGTGGACTGGCTGTGGAGCGGCCCGGGGCTCGGCTCTGTAGCCGTAGGAGTCGCGGCGCGATTGGCGTTCGGCTCCCAACTGCTCCGAGCGCTCGTGCGGAGCGTTGCGGAGGATGGGCGCGCGTTGCTGGAGATCCTGCTGCTGAGGGAGTTCGAGGTCGGCGGCTGGGAAATGAGGCTGACTCTGAGGCTGGGAACGGGTGGGTCGGGTGTCGCGGGGAACGGAGGTGTTTTTTAGTTGCTGAAAATTAAATTTCTTGAGTAAAAAAAGTTGTAAAAATTGCTTGGACATCTACAAAATTAGGATTTTTGAAAATTTTCATTTTTCAAAAATTTAATTTTTTTCATTTTTTATTTTGTCAACGACCGGTCGAATGAGCCTAGAAATTATTTCAGGGCTTGATAATGGAGAACTTCTCAAAATTATCGGCTTTTTGTATGTTTTACCATCACTTTCCCCAATTTTCTCTCAAAAAGCCTATTTTTTTCTAAATATCTAATCTCCCTCAAAAAAAACAGCATTTTTCAGCTTGATGATCCCTCTTCTAATGACAGTGATGACTGCCCTAGTAATTTACATAATTTTGGTCTGCACTGAGGACCAAGAAACCACTCCAAATGGGCCCAGTTACGTTCATTTTGATGATGTTGGATTAGAGGAAATTGAAGATCACAGTGAGGTAAATACCTTCAAAATTTTCCAGAGTAACAAGCTACTTCCAGCTTTCTGAAGAGGAAACGGACGATGGAGACTACTTTTTGGACTTGGCCTCCATGGTTTTTATCAGCAAAAGTATTATAATCGAAAATATTGGCACATAAAGCTTACAATTTGAGTTTTATACGGATTTTCGTGAGTGGGTGAAGCTGTATTATGGTATTTACATAACGCAAAAAATTTTTTTGAGTTACCTAATTTTTTCGTAAAAAAGTGATGATTTTTTTGGAAAAAAAACTCAAAATTTTTGTGTTTTTCATTTCTTCCACATTGAGATTACTACTGAAATTAAACAATCAGGCTATTTACTATTTAGAAAAGTCAGTTTAGCTCAAGATCTAGACTAAAAAATGCTTTACGACATATTTATTGACATTTTTAGCCTAAAATAAGGTGTAATCGGCCTATAAATCGATCTTTTTAATATGGCTGAGAGTCATGATGTATAATATATTACAACTTTCTACTAGAGTTAGAAAGGCAGTTTGAAGCATTCAAGCTCCAGAATCAACATAAAAATTAACAAAAAGTCATCAAAATCATAAATTTCCCTAACTTCTCCCTTTTCTCACCTCCAACAGCAATTTCTCGGCCTGTCTCCGCTGATGCCCGTCCGGATCATGGAGTCTCTTATTCTTCAACGCACTCAGCTTCTCCCTGAGCCATTCATCCGCCTCCGTCTCCTTCTCCGGCTCTTGGAACGAGAGTTTTCGGGTCGGCAACGCATTCACTGACCGACTATTCCGTTGCCGGTAAATATCTCGTTGCTCGGGCCAATGCGGATTGTCGGATTGGTATGTGGCGGTTGGTTTCGGGGTGTAGGAGCGTTGCTGCGGGCGGGGAGGGAGTTTTGAAGAGGAGTATATCATGTCGTTCAGGTTTTCAAAGTCTCTGAAATGGAGGAAATTTGAATTTTCGGAGGGTAAATATGGTATTAGTGTAGAAGGGAAAGGCATTGACCTAAAAGAAATATGATTTAGCGTCTTTGAGGGAAATTTCGAATTTTTTAAATCGCGTTTTGCAGAAATATTTGAAATTTTATGTTCGAAAATAGAAAAAAAGCTCGTTCTTCCCAAAATTTTGGCGAAAAACATGATTTTTCGACCAAAAAATCGGCAAAGATGGTTGTCCAATAAATGACTTTAGTTTGATGCTTATCATTGATATCTAAAATCAAGATTTCTTTCTGGAAAAATTAGTCAAAACCAAAAATTTTTCAAATGTCATCGTTTTTTTTCAAAATTCGCTTTACATGTCGCATTGAAGCTCTATAGAATTTGAGAATCTCTCAATTAAAAGTAGACACCACATAAAATAAGTTATCGTATTATCCCACCGACCTTTGTGAAATCGTCCTGAGTGGTTTCCGTTCGTAAGTATAAGTTTGTTCGTAAGCCGGAGCCATCGATCGACTTCGTCGTTGGCTCGCGTGGTCGGGGGTGGGCGTTGTGTTACTCGAGTAGGTCATGTAGTACTCTGGATCACACAAATCGTCCATACCACCACTAAAATTACAATAATTTAAAAAAATTCTCATCAAAATCCAGAATTTTTTGAAAATTTCAAGATTTCCCCAAAAATCCCAAACTTTCCCTCAGGCGTTATTGTTCAAATTTAAATTTCTCTTCAGGAAATATTATTTTCCGCCTGGATTTTCCACTTTTTTGTTCGTTTTGGCATAAATTTCCATAGAAAATGAATAAATCCAATGGGCTTTTCGGAGACCTCACCCTAAGGGCATTTTTTATAAAATCTTTGCTTTGTTGACTTCTATATGATGTATGAAGCTTCAGTTCAAGAGATGAGAAATAATTTTGAAACATAAAAACCGCAATTTAAGATTTTATTCAAAGGGGATCGAACTTGGGCCGAATTCGGGTAAAATCCACTATACTATGGGTGCACGGGGGCGGGGTTGGTCTAAAAATGGGTGGGAATAGCCGAAATTAGATTGTTTTGAGTAGTAACGGCTGTAAAAAATGCTTGACGACATCTTAAATTGTACTGTAAACTTTTTTGATGACAAAAAACAGCCAAAAACATAAAATATCCCTCGTTTTTGCGTTATAACTCCTCATAACTTACAGATTACCCTCATTGCCCCTTTTCTTCTGCTCAAACAGATCCTTTTGTTGGGGTGGGGAATGGGGCCGCGGGGTGTGAAGTCGGGGCGGTTCGTAATTCAGATTCCTCTCCAACAAATCCCCAAAAGGATCGGCTTGAAGACTTTGTTGACGCTGATTCCGACGTCTCTCCTCTTCTGCCTTCCGGCGAAAGTCCGAATCTGTGGGCAGATCACCGGCTAGCTGAAAAATTTTAAAATTTATTCTTGATCTCATGGACAATATAAAAAATTGGGAATCTGATGTCAACGACAATGTAAAAATAAATCTGAGAGTTCGAAAAGATTTCTGGAAGCTCATTCGTCGCTGCTGGTCATTACTGGCTCTTCACGGGAGTTTTTCGGACCTATTTTGGAAAAGAATTCGGAAAGTTGAGGGAAACGGAAGAATAAACAAATAATTTCCGGCAATTTACAGTGTTTGAGAGGTTCGTTTGCTATTGCTAAGGGTCTAAGACGTATTTCCATCAATTTTATGGGGTAAAACAGGAAAACCGGAAGAAAACGACATTTTATACGATGAAAGGTATCTGATGGTCGGAAAATTTTTGTTGTAAAAGTAAAGAAATTCATTTTATTCTTGTGAATTTTACTTTTTACAGCTTTAAAAAGGTCTGTAAATCTGTTTGGGACCCAAAAATGACGTTGCAACGAAATGCCAAGGTTGGCGGGAATTTGAATTTTTCTTACATTTTTAGCTACGGTAAGGTGTTGAACTATCCCAAAGTTATTTTCAGCGCAGAATTACCCCCAAATATCATCAATTTACACCATTTTAAGCTCCATTTCTCATCTCATTACGCAATAATCAGCTAACCCAAAAAATTTGCATATTCTAATTTCGCCCCAATAAAAGCCTCACGCAACCTCCTTTGCCTTTGCAAAAAAATCCCGCCCAAAATTTACGAAAAATTCTTCCAAATTTTCGGCCGCGGCCTTTGTTTCGGCCGCGGGAAATAATAAAACCGAGCCAAGCGAGAAACACGCCAAGAACTGGATTATAATTTCAAAAACTCCGATTCTCAACTTGTCAATGGCCCGAGAAAAGAATTGTCCTCAGGACTTTTTTGATGAGAATCTTGGATTTGATTTGGGACATGGATAACATGGATAACAGGTGTCACTCAAGTGCAAGAAATTTGGGAGTTTTGCGAGGGTTTTGTCTCGGAAATGACATGACTTCAGCGGGGGTCTAGTAGAAGTGTGGCCAAGCTTGGCGGAAAATTTGGGTAGGAAATGGATTGGAAATTTTGAGACGTGAGGATTCCGATTTTTCATGTCTAAAGTAATGTTTGTTTTTTGAAAAAATTCAGAAATAAGTCTCAAAAGCTCTGTGCTTATTTTATTAACGCGGTTTACCCATCAATTACGATGTATATTCTTTTCGACCAAAAAAATCACAAAAGTGCGATGGATAATATAAATTGATGTCTCTAAATGGATTGAAATACTCTTAAATCGAATTAACAACTAGTAATGTATCCTTTATCGTAGGAAATAACCTGTTCTGAAATCTCCGAGAGACAGTCATCGCCGCTAAAACAGAATGCCAAATTTGGCGGGAATTTTGAACTTTAAATTTTAGGCAGGAATAAAGACAATTTCAAAATTCAAACATTTTAGACCACTCTACTTCATTTGAAATTTAAATTTTAGGTTTAAAACAGACTAGTAGACTACCACGTAAAAATTTCTTAGCCCCGAGCAACAAAATCATCACTTGAAACACAATGCCAAAATTTCGCTCAAAAATTCGAGCTTCCAAAACTTCCAGACCCCTTCCACAGTGTCTCAGACACTTCCTCAAACAATCATATTATCGTATCCCCACCCACCTTGTTAATTTCGTCCTCCCATTTGGGCGTTTCGGCGCGTCGTTGCAATTCAACCCCATGCAGGGGAATATCCTTCAATTGCTCGGGTTCCACGCGATCCGGCACCTCAATGACGGCCGGCTCAATGCTCGCCCGACGTGCCGAAGACGAGGGCTTCTTGGGCGCCCTGTAATGCTCCTTCAACGACTTGGCCGGAACATATGAAAAACATTTGGAATTGGGGTCGTAGCTGAAACGAATTGAAAGGGATTACGTGGGAAAAGGTCAGAGAGACAATGATATTCGATATGAAAAATGAAGTTTTAGACTTTTGGACATTGGAATTTGAAAATAAAACTTTGAAAAAATTTAAACTCGTCTTACCGTCCCTTGGCCACCAAATCGGAGTCAATTTTGCTCGTCGTACCATGGCTTGTGTGCTTTGAGACCCTCGGATTTTCACTGTCCGGAGACTGTGTCCTCAGGGCAGCTGGCAGCACTTTTCTTTCTCTTCCAATTGTCCCATCTACATTCCCATAGGGATCGTCATTTTCATCGTCATCGTCCTCATCGTCTTCTTGCCTCGAAGTGGATTCATTGGCATCGTCGTCCTCGAATTCGGCCGGTGTGTAGCCGCGGGGTTTCGGCGGCACGGCCGGAGGTGCGGGCATTGGGGCTGGGGGCTCGAACTGGAAAATTAATACGTTGGAAAGCATTTTCGAAAAGTTTTTTTTTGAAATCCCGTTTTGTTCTGAAGACAAGGTGTAAAAGCAAGGTGTAAAATTTTGTCCAAAAATACCAGTGTTAGGCAAGTTTTAGCTTGTATGAAACTTTGTAGGCATCAAAACTCCCAACACGCATCATCTAGCTCAATAAAACATCCTAGAAAATATTAGCAACCAGGATATCGGTTTACATGGCGTTCTTGGCCCATTGGCAAATAAATGTAATAAACCATGAAGTAAAAAAAACTTTCTATCAAAATTAGTTGAACAATTGGGCAAAGCGAGACCAAAGGAGCACAAAACTTTGGAAATTAGTAAAAACTTGGCCATCCTTTTTGAGTAATATATGATTTGTCATCCTGAGTAATTTCTCGATGATTTTTAGTCATCATTTTTAAAATTTTTTGGTTTTAAAATTAAATAAATGAAATAAAGGTTGTCTCAGAGCACGAGAGCAATAATGTTTATGGATGAACATAAATATTTACCTTTGAATTTTTGGGCGAATCAGAGCCGATTCCAGAGTCGGCGCCGTCCGTATTCTGGCTGTTCTGTTGTTTCAACCCGCCCTGAGGGGCTTCAATGTGAATCGGAGAGATGTTTTTGGTGGTTGGTGGAGAAACCGGGACTTGAGAGGGCTGCGGAGTCAAGTTTAGCGATTGAGACTGCGATCGATCGTCTGAAATTACATTAATTTAACTAGTGTGATATGGATTTCTGAGGCATTTTTTTGTCTCGACAGAGTAAGAGGAGTGGTGTAAAATACGAGTTTTCAATTTTTTGGTTAATTATTTTTGTAAATTAATTGATCAAAAATAATAAAAAAAATTTTTTTAATAAAAGAAAAATAGAAAAATATTGAAAAAAAATTCGAAACTATATAAATTTTGTTTTTGATTGATAATTTTGAATGATAAACTTCTCGAAAACCAAAAAAAAAATAATGCAAACTTCATGTGAAAAAACCTTTTTTAAAAATATGCTGTAAAACCCCCGAAAATTTAAATTACGCCTTCACTTTTATTTATTAATAATTATTTTTCCTCATTACTTCCTCAAGTAACCAAGAAAATCAATTTAATCGCCAAAAAATATGATAAAAACTTTTTTTTTTGATTCGAAAACCGATCAAAAAGACATGTCTCGTAATAAGATATCCAATAATCCCCATGATCTCGAATCGGCCTTTCAAAAAACATTCTTTCCGTACACCTGTTTATTAGTCCATAAGATAAAAAAAGAGAGAATTCCGACTATATTTTTGCTACTTTTCTTCCAATGACTAATTCCGCAATTTTTTTTTTCTTTGGCTGAAAGTGAAACACCAATCGGCCCAATGGCCATGTTATTAGCGCTATTAATAATTTTTTGAAGCTGAATTGAGAGTGATTTACGAAAAAAATAATAATGCGGGATTCATGGAAAATCAAGATTTTTTGGGCATAAAAAAAAGTTGTACAAAGAAATTTCAAAATTTTAAAAAATAAAAATTGCTAGAGGCAGAACGCTCAAAACGTCTTTGAATTTTGCTTTTAGGTTCGTTCTAATCCATTTGCCAAGTGCTGAAAGTTTTAGCACCCGCAATTTAGACAGAGTCGAGATATAAACTATCTTTGCAGACGAGAGATTATGGAAAATGAGGGGAGACTATCAGACAGAAATGCTTTTTGCCCCATATCTTCGAAATTCCCGGGAAGAAATTGATTTCTATGAGCCATAATTACCTCCTAATTGTAAGCACACAAGAGGTATAATAAAGATCAAAAATTTTCGCAAAATTTTTCCGTCATTTTTTGACTAATTGTGAGTTTATGAAAACGTATCAAAAAAACTAAAGCCGGCTAGCATCAAAGCTTGTACCTTGTGCCACCCAAAACAATTTTTTTCTTTTTTAAAATACGATAGAGTTCATTGGTATGAATTTTGTTGACAACAAAGAAAATCCGGATGAAGGTATTTTCACAGACAAAAACTTCTCTAAAAAATAAGACCATTAGACATTTTTTCTACAGACTTTTTTAAAAAAAGCAAAAAGTAATGCTTCCTATTATTCTCCACCAAAAATTTTGCATTAAGCAAAGCTGTAACTGATCAAAAATCATAACTGACAACTTTCTAACAACAAAAATTTCGCTAACGTCTGTGGCCCGACCATAAAAACTTCCCATCCGAAAGCGCCGATTACTCGAGTAAACTCTTTCCCGATCAAGCCTTGCGGACCTCAAGTGGTCCATTCCGCCCCAAAAGATGCCAAAAAGATGACCAAGCGTTGTAATAAAATGTCATCAAGTTAATTGAATGCAAAGTAAAAAACGCCGCGAAAAAAACCAGGCCCAAGACTTTCGAAAAAAGTTCGAAATCGGGGCGAGGGCCGGCGATTTCCCATTCCTCCGAGGCCCCGACTCCGCACTTGTTTTGTCCCCTCCGGCACTCCAATCACTCGGGGAGAGACTCGCTTGCAGCCGCACCTGTCCCGGTCCCGAATAGCCTCCGGAAAAGACGGAGAGGCAGTGCCAAGGAGATCTGTTCGAGGGGGGATCGGGCCCTCCGGCCTTCCACCGCCCACCCGGACGCTGAACGCGAAGAGAGGGACCATTAATGTCATGGAAATCAATAAATATCAACAGGACATTCAGCCGCTGTTACTTTAGGCAGTTCTCCATGATATTAGGGGGAGAACGAAGTAATTTAGAGGAGAAAAATACAAAAACGACTTTTTAAAATGTATACGTCCCTTTGACAGTAAAAGATCAAGCCTCATAGAGGCATGAATCAAGATACAAAGTCACCTTATCATACAAGAGTATAACATAATGTTATCTACAAAGTTTTGACAAGCAAGTTTCAAGCCTCATCGACAGGAAGCTAAAGATAGAATATTGATGACAAACGACAAGAAATGTCAAATTGTCTGCATAGCTTCAAAAGCGATAAAATCAAAAATAGTTTGCAGTAGCGCTATCAACGCTCAAATTCTGAGGAAGCAAAGCAAAAATTTAGAATAAGCACACCCAGGGCATATCCAAAATTTTAATCGCGCCTAGCCCCACATCAAAACATTATAAACAAAATTGACAGAAATTTGATCGAGTTTTCTAAAAGAATTCAGCTTCCTCAAGAATGTGACGAAGTGCAGCCAACAATATGGCTTTTCTCTGACCTGCAATGAAATATTCTATAACGTTCCTTTCGCCAAAAAGGTTAAATTTTTCAGAGATGCTTGAAAACTTAAAAATAAAACTTTTAAGAATTGGAATGTAATCTAGCCTGTGCAGTCAAAGAGAATCTCAGAATCGCACCTAAATCTGTTCCCCTCTACTCTAAATTCCTCTACAACGGGGCGCATGCCTAACTCAATCTAGCCTTGGAACAATCTTCAACGTGATAATTGTGATACTCATGATACGTGGTAAAACGTTTTTTGACCTAAATATGTAGACCTACAGTACCAATATGCTGACTTTAAGTTGTCTTTCGACAAGCAAATAATCTGGCTTTAAACAAAGCAAACGCTTTGTTTAGCCAGCCAAAAAAGTGGACATAGTTTACCATTCAAGAAGAGTTAGTTCGCCTGACTTTACTCTAATAATAGACCACCTTTTAAACACCGCTATCCTCTCTAACACTATTGAAACTTTCGTAAAAAGTAACACTCCCAGTTAGCTCTTCCCTTAACACAATCAAATCTCGTTAAAGCCGCTCTGAGAATAAGGTCAAAGTGCTAAAAGACCCACTAAATTTCCCAAATATTTTTTATACCGAACAGGTTTAGGTAGGTCCATTTGTTTAAAGCCAACTGTTCGAACGCCGCTTTACGATTCTTTGCATCCACTGTTCTCTTCCCCAGACTGGTTTGGTGGTCAGTCTGACTTGAGGCTTGTAGGGGTCAGGAGGTATTATTAGAGGGATATCTGGTTACCAAGAAGGAGTAAAAAACGAAGGACAGGGAATGACGTCATTGTAGATGGGTGGCAATTCAAGAGGTTAGGGAAAAAAGTGCTGAAGTTTTGGATGAGCGAAGTAGAAAATTTCGGATTTTTACAGTGTATGTACTTGCCATGAAATTTACTGGGAAAGCAAAACAAAAATACTTGATTTTTGTCAAGTTTCTGCGAGATTTCAGCTTCTCAAAACACTCCTCCAACTACAGCTTTTCAAAAGTGCATAGACTTTTTACATAACAGGCACATCTACAGTGTAAAATTACTTAAAAAAAATAAAATATAAAATTCACTGTATGCATAAAGTCTAATTGTAAGCATTTTTTTAAAAGCATATTTTTATTTTTTCGTCATCAAATTTGATGCCTTTCTCTCATCTGCACAACAATTCACCCTTCGAATCCAACCCAAACCCACCTTCAGGTCGATCAAAGTTCTCATAGCTGTCCACTCGGCTGAAGCTTCCGCTATGTCTGTTTTGCTCGGCGCCGACGGATTGTGCCCGTTGCTCTGGTCGCTGCGCAATGTTCTGCCCCGAATTCTGACGTTTCAACGAACTTGAGCGACTTCTGGACGGCTCCATTACAAAATTGAATTCAATATTAGCCTCGGGGCCGATTGAGGGATCTAAAAATTGATTTTTTATATTAATCATAACATAAAAAGCAACAAAAATCATTGATTTTAGCAAGAATTAGAGTTCTTACCGACAAGATCCAAATCACTGCTATGAAAAGAGAGCTGAGGCAATCTGGGATCCAATTCGAGTGCGCAAGTGTTGAATTGGCATTGGAAGAGGAGTTGGCGGTCGTCCAACGCCGAATCTGCAGACTTCTCGCTGGGTTTGGCAAAACATTTGACCAGGAAGTCGCCACGAAGCGATAGGCCTTCTTCTCCAAAGCTAATCGTGGTTTTGGAGGAGGAGATTGGACTGAAAAAAAATATTTTGTGTCATCAAACCAGAGATCAAAAAAGCTCTTTTTGGTCAAGAAAAACTTCAAAAGTATGGCAAGTGAGGACCGTGACATAGAATTAAAGCAAAAAAAGATTATTTTTTTCGAAATTTTTTAGGACGTCTTGCAAAATATGTGACGAATAATCCATTAAAAAACCCTAGAATTTTCTTTCCACTTCACATTTTACCCTTACATTTTCTCGGTGTTGTAGACTGGCTTCATCCGTTCGTAGATCTTCAACAAGACTGTTCTCCCAACCGGAAATTGAGTGAAGGTAATCGAGGTCAGATGGATTGGCTGTGGATTCACTTTGGTCGCACCACTGATCAGATTTGCAAAGTAACGGACATATCTTTTGTGGGACGGCTGGCCGTCGAATTGAAGGAATTTCTCGCTGAACAATTGCATCGAGAAACGATCGGCCACTGATTCTTCGCTGGAAAATATCAGCACATAAGACTTGGCAAAAATTCCAAAAAATATGTCATCATTGCAAATTTATGAAATAAAAAAAATTAAATTGGTTTGTGACTACGCCTGTGTATTTATGACGTCATAATAATTAAATTTTTTTCTGAAATGTTAATTTTTTGAATTTTTTCCCATTTTTTTATAAAAATCCGGTCATTACGACAAATTTTAGACAGTAAAAAACGCGTAAACCAATTTTAAAATACGACATAAGGACAAGCGCCCATAAAAAATATTTTCACCCTGAAATATCACATTTTTACGATGATTTCTCAAAATTTTATCGTAAAATCTAAATTTCCCCCTTATTTTACCCAATTTCTACTCACCTAGAACAAACATTTGCATAATGCATGTAAGAAGCGATGACGATGGCTGCTCGGCTTCTCCAGCCCTTACAATGAATGACTACCAAGTTCTTGGGGTTGCTGTTGAGCCAGTTCTCGAACTGTTTACAGATCGAGCACAGTTTATCGAGGGGCGGGGCCAGCTGATCGGGCCAGCCGAGCTCAATAACGGCGCCGGAATTGGCGCGGCCTAGGTCGGAGCGCTTCTGGGAGAGGTTGAAGATCTGGAAAAAAATAGTTTTAGATTTTTCGAAAAAAAAGTGATATCAGTTTTGTCATGGATAATATATTTTTTGGCCTGAAAAATGCAGAAACAGGCAAAGACACGTATTTAAAAAATTTTCCTGGAATTTTAAGCTATTTTGGAGATAGAGTATGAAAATTTTCCTCATAAAAAATAACTTATATTACCCATATTCGACGTTTTTCATCCCAAAAGTATTATAATAAATCCCCTCACCTTGTAGTGCTCCCCATAAGTTTTCCGCAATTTCTCCGAGACCTCTTTGATGCTGCTTCTGTAGGCATTATCCGAGCCTCCCGTGGGGAAAGTAATCGCTGCAATTCGGTCCGTGATCCGACTGAAATCAACCCCTCCGGGCTGGATCTGGAGTTCGGTGGTCATCCGGGGATGGGGCTGGGAGCGGGATCTGGGCGACTTCTTAACTTCCAATGGGACTACTGAACGATATTGATTGGATGGACGGTAGTTTCGGTCCTGGAAATAAAGAAGTGCAATCGCTGCGTAACCGTATTATATAAAGATAAGTTTTATTCGATTTTTACATAAATCGGGCCAATTTTAAATCCAAATTCATGACCTATGCGTAGGTACGCCAGATTCTTAGCTAAAAACAAAATGAATTTTTTAGCGTTGTTTGAAAAAAAGTTAAAATTCTCTTTTAAATTGAGAGCATGACGTCTTTTACTTCAAATTTGCAAAGATTTCCAAAAAACTTTTTTCTCTGACCGCGTCTCTCGTCATTTTCTGTAAGTCTCTCATTTGTAAAAGTCCAAAATATTTTTTTTTGCGATTCTCGATACGAAAAATTAAAAATTTGTTAAAAATTGAGAGCATGATGTCTCAACAAGGACCAAATTTTATTTCAAACTTCCAAAGATTTCCGAAAAACGTTTTTTTTTTTCTCTGACTGCCTCTCATAATTTTCTGTAGTCTCGTATTTGTAAGAGTCCGTTAAAAAAACTGAATTTATGCCCATAAACAAAAAATACTGTTTTTTAACCCAAAATTCGGAAAGGCCCATAACATGTTTTCCACTCTCGACATAAAAACCTCGCTTTATTATATTCTCATCATAATTTTGCTCAGGATTTGTGAGAATCTCACAAAAGTTATGGAGTCTTACATTAAAATCAAAATTAAGATTTCAAGCAACCGATCCAAATCTTAAACGGCAAAAATATTTATATTTACGATTACATCTACGTTTTACTCGAAACGGAACGGCATTTTGCCCGAAACTGTTGTCATGAAACGAGAATGGCAATAAAAAGATAATAATACCCCAAAATGAAAAGAAACATATTCCGGAAGCTATTCCGGGCGAGTAGAATTCACATATGTTTGGAAATGAGATTTTTGGTAAAGGATTTACTGGTGGGAAGTCCAAAGTTCACGTGAATTCATCAAAAGAAACAATAAATCTCAAGGTAATCTTATCCTTTTGATGTGAGGAGAAAATTAATCGTTGAGTAAAAAATGCCGGGAATTTGCAAGTTTATTAGCAGAGAAAGTACCCAAAGTGTGACGCTCAGATTTTGATGAAGTTTGGCCAAGAATTAGGTCATTTTTTCAACGCACATACAAGACTCGCGCTTTGTAGAAAAGATGATTTTTAGAGTCGGCAAAATATGTTTTTGCAAATTTTGGCATGAAACGTTTCATGTCGATTTCTGCCTAGAGTAAGCATGGCTGCAAACCGGGCCAGCCCGGCCCGGCCCGGGCCGCAGGCCCGGGCTTAAATCTCCAAGCCCGGCCCGGGCCCGGGCTTGGGAAATTTGGAAAGCCCGGCCCGGTTTGGCCCGGAAAATTTTATACTGGTTTGGAAAGAAAGAAAGCGGGAAATGAAAAGAAAATTATGGCAAATTTTCGCAAGATGTAAAGAAAAATTTAGCAAAACCTAGGTACATAAGGTCACTTTACGTTCGCTATCAGCATTGTGTTCGAAAAAATGAAAAATCCTATTGTAAAAGCTTATTTTTTCCTTTTTTTCCGGGCAAAACTCAAATTTCAAAAAAACCGGGCCGGCCCGGGCCGGGCCGGGCCTGAAAATCGAAGCCCGGAGTCGGGCCGAGAAGTTAGTCGGCCCGGCACGTCAAGAAATTTCGGGCATTGCAAAGGTTCTCACAGCGAAAAAAAATTCATAAAATCTGTCATCCAAATTGCACATAACAACAATGTTTAACCTAATTTTTTTTATGGGAGCTCTAGGGAGTACTACTAGTCGTATACAACTGTTTTTTATACCACTGGCACATTCTGAATGGGTGTCATCGTGACGCATTTTTTGAACACGGTTCGAGCTAGGCTAAAAATAGTGCAAATTTCAAGGCCGAATATCAAAAAAACTGTCCCATCAAGCGGGACGAGACCGATGTAGATACTCGAAGAATAGTTTAAGGATTTTTTTGACGTGGAGCCTATACCCCCTTCCAGTTCTCTCTGACTCGGTATCGTCGATAAAACATTTTATTTAGACGTTGTTTTCTTCGCCTTGGAAGACTGTCAAAATACTATGATTATGGGTATATTTTGATTCTATTAGCTTTTAAAAGCAGCTCTCGAGCTTTCTATTGGTATCAATATCTTGTGATTTACTATTAATCTTTATGTCAAAATATTGCAAACCATTTGGACAAAAACGGATTTGCACCGGGCAGAATGCCAAAAAAAATTCTAGGCTTTTTCATTGGGCGCCCGTTTTTCTTTTATTTTTTCTTGACGTGCCCGGCCCGGGCCGGAAAATTTTGCAAAGCCCGGCCCGGAGCCATGCCTAGCCTAGAGGGTAGGGTTTCCACAAAAAAATATTTTTTCCCCACGAAACTGGCAAGGATATAAGAGTGAAGAAAAAAGATCGCTCCGATCGTTCCGACGCAAAACGTTAAAAACGCTTTCCTCACTTTTTTTGAAAAAATAAAATGGAAAAAATGAGGCCGACATGAGAAAAAAAGCTCGAGAAAACAAATTCAGCGTCTTTTTCAAAATCTCAAAATCCGTCTTATTTCTTCACTCTTATATGGCAAAAAAATGTTTTTCTCTGTGACTGCTCTCAACGTTTCGCGTAGTCTCTCGGGCGTAAAGATTGTTAAATATCTCAGCTTACTATACCTTAGAAGATTGGTGGCCTATGCCAGAAACGTGTGCAGAATTTAAAGAAATTCTAAGCGCCCACTTGGAGTACATCTTTTATAAAGCCAAGTTTCAGCAAAATCAACAACAAACTCCGAATTCTTACCCTACAACACAAAGTCCACCCAAAATACTCCTAAAAATCAAGCGCTATTCTCAAGATCTCCGTGAAAAGGTCAACAGATAACAACTGGCCAGTAACTGAAAACCGAAGACAAATTTCGATCGCAAAAAAAATTTTTTCTCAGAATCGATTTCGATTTGAGCGCTAAACCCCTGAATTCCTTTCTCCTTCTAATCAAATGTTCTCGCGGCGGGTATTTAAATTCGACGGAGATTAGGGCCCAAGTCTGGGCCAGATGCGGGCCATCAAGTTTTGATAATTGGGAGGGGGATTTATGGAGTCGCGAGGGTGGGTGACGTCATTTGAAATACAAACTTTGAATCGAATTTTGTAATTAAAAAAAATATATTTTGAAAAAACATTTGAATAAATTCAGGTCGGTGACATTTTATACGAAAAAACAATTCTGAATTTCCAAAAATAAGTCGGTCAAAAAACAAGAATATTTTAAAAATACGATTTATTCCTCCGCTAAAAGCTCACAAATAATAACTTTTTCTTATTTTTCTCAACATAAATTTCCAAAATCCCAAAAATTTCAAGCAAAAAAATCTAAAAACGGGCCAAAAATCGACCAAATCCCCCTCCCCCTCCAAACCGACCCGACCTTCAGTCGATTTAAGCGAATTGTTTTATTGATTAGCGAGTACCTGTTCCGGCCCCAAGTGTAAAAATGACCTCGAGAAAAAGGGCCCCCGAATAGAAGCGGCCAATCGAACAGTTGGCCGATCGGATATCAAAATAACCGGCTAAGTTGGGACGGGAAAGGAGGGGGGTTGTGGTGCAGTGACGTTTCAAGACTTTTGGGAATTTGCGGGGATTTCTTTTTTTTTTTGAATCACGAGATTTTTGATGGGATTTTTGGAGAAAATGATAAAAATGGAAAAGGAATTCCGTTACACAGCATTTGGCGGGCTGTAACTGCTCTTAAAACACAATGCCAAAAATGGCGGGAAATTTGAATTTTTGAAATGAAAACCTTCCGAAACAAACAGATATTATATTGGTCGTATTTTAAAACCTAATCAGAATATTTTTTCGTTTTTGCGATTTTCCAGCGTCGTATTTTAAAATTTAATCAATCACTTTTTTCGTTTTGCTAATTTTTTTTCTTTTCCTCTCAAAACAAGCAAAAAACTTGGAAAAGGAGATATAATTGATGATCAAAGCCCTCGAAGACGAAGCGAAAAGATAACAAAACGTTGTGCTGAGTGATTAGCGACAACTTTAGCTCCAAAAATCACTTACTTTCCGTGGTGCCGCCAAGGGATCACTTCCGTAGCCATTCGGAGCGTAATTGTCGGCCTGAAATTGTAAAAAATTTACGTTGATTTCAAAAAATTGATAATAATTTTAAAGTCACATTATTTTCAAGCCCTTTGAAGTTTTTCTAATACCTCTTTTTGTCCCTTTTTCTTGTCCAAAGCTGCGCCATTACAGCCAAAACAGAGCATTTTCGGTGGAAGAAATGGGGGAGTTACTCAGATCTGGGAGGAGGCTAAGGTCGTGTGCATTACTCTGGAAGGCTATAGAAAAAGTTGATTGCACGAAGAATTGAGAAAAGAATTATATTACACTTAACACGAATACGCAAATTTTTAGAATTATTCAAATTTTTTTGAAATAAAATTTGCATAAATTACAGAAAGTTACCCTGTAGTATTCTAGCTAGTGTTAAAAAGGATTTTTAGAGATTTGAAATCAATATTATATTATACTTGACATCAAAATAAATTTTTTTTTAAATTTACATATTTTTGAAAATTAATCTCTAAAAATTAACACAAGTAATTTTATCAGTATTTAAATATGTCCAGAAATATATTTTGCAACAAATTCCCCAAAATTTTTTTTATTTTTGCAGCTACAAATCTGTTTTAATGACTATTTTTCCCCAGCAAACAACAAAATCAGATGATCTGAAAGCCCCAAAACACCACTGATCCTAATCCCCATCGAACACATACGCTCATGTAAATCCCCTCTGTTACTATCTTCTTATCAAAAAACATCTGAATTGTCCCTTGGAAAGCCCCAAAGTCGGTGGAAATAAAAATATTAAATTGAATGAGGCGAAAGAGATTACAATAGCCGTTCGTCCGACTTTTGTACCCATTCAGACACGAGCAGCAGGGATCGGGATTTCAAATTCAAATAAAATTAGCCCGCGGGGAATTTCGTCCGATGAAAAACGGGGGTTTGTTCGAGTTTTTTTTTTTGGGATTTCTTGGGAAAACGAAGTTCAATTGAATAAAAGTGATATTTTTTGAGCGTAAAAGGTTGATTAGCAAGTTTATAGAAACGTCCATGGTTACGTCGTATTTTAAACAAGACAACGAAAGAAAGTTTCTTTTCGACAAAATTTTGAGCTCAATTTACTCTTCAGGAAATCAGATTTTCCTTGGAAGTTAGCAAGCCATAGAGCAAAAAAACATATAGGAAGATTCTAGCGTACTTACAGTAATTCTTACACTACAAAAACATGAGCATTTCCACATAAAAGTTCACAAAAAATGTTTCCTCCCCGGCCGGGAATCGAACCCGGGTCTCGCACGTGACAGGCGCGGATACTTACCACTATACTACCGAGGAACTGTTCCAAAGCCACTTGGAATTGAATGACTTTAGGTGGAAAAAAGACAGAAGGAAAAGGAAAGGCTAATTGAGGGAATAATGATTAAAAAACTCATTTTGAAAAAACAGACCGAAAATAGGAAAAAATCCATTATTTTGGCAAAGGTGAAAAAGTAATGATTTTTTTCATACACTAATTTATAACACTAATTTTTTGAATATTCGGATTTTATTTTTAAGAATTTTTAAAATACATCGGAGCCACCAAATTTTACGTTTACAAAAAGCCACAAAAAGGCCGGAAACGACTCTCCCATCTGCCTCATAACACGGTATTATTCATAAATCGTATCATAAAAGAGGAAAGCTGGTTTTTCAGTGCAATTAATTCACCGCTGTTTGACCTCAATTCCCTCGCCGAACTTTTGAGGATTAGTTTGAGTAATCTAATTTCTCTGAATATATGATTCCCCTCTAATGACCCATCCAAAATTTTCGAATTCAGGAGGGAGTCATGAGTATTATAAGTCCGATTTGTATTGTAAAAAGGGAAAGGTTAGTAAATATAATATGAAAGGGTTTTTCAGAAGTTTAGGGGTTTAGGGGTCTTGTAAATTTGAGATGAAGGCAAAATACAGTATAAGAAAAAGCGAAAATAGGATTTTCAGAGGTTTCCAAAGTCTCCAAAAATGACGAAAAAATAATAAGAATGAGTAAATTTTAATTTTAATTTGCATTTTTTAGGGTCCAATGCTATTGTAAAATCAATTTTGCAGCAATATATATATATTAAAAAATGAAATTTAATATTTTTAAAAGACAAAACTAATAAAATGGGAATAAAAAGCCATTTTTGGGCATTATTAGTCTAGCCGATCGTTGAATGTACAGTGCAAAACAACAAAAAACATCTTTCAGTGCTGTGAAAACAGTGAATTCGTCGCAGAAAACAAGCAACAAATCAAATTTTTCACATTTTTATTTTAAAAAATCTTAAAAATTCAGATAAATGCTTAATTTCAGGGAATTTCTCTCAATTATAAAGTGTTAGGGTTACTGTAGCTTCAAAATACCGAGTCCGAAAAAGTCAACTCCACCCGAAAAAACGCCAATTTTTCACAAAAGACTCCAAAAAATCGCAAAAAAAAACTTTCGGAAAAATGACGTCCCTAAAATAATTTGCGTAAGTGACCCACTCGAGAGCGATTAGGTAAATAGCCGGAGGGGAAGTCATAGCATAGACTTTTGCGTCGTCTTTACGACGTGCAAACAAATCATAACCGATGCGGGTGTTATGGAAATTCCTCAGCTATCATAACAAGTTTTTTGATTGTAAAACTGATAAAACGAGGTTTATCACCGGGAGGATAGGGTTTATGTACAACATGACTACTTTTAGCATAAACAAGACGTCAAAAAAGGGCAAGTTTGAACAGAAAGGAGATAAAAAAGTCTAAAAAAATATTTTTGTAGACGATTTTTTGTAGAACATAACTAAATATATAAGTCATAAAGAAGGAAGCGTAGTTTAAAACTCATAGCCTAGCCTTACTACAGGGTGTGCCAAAAAGATTGGGACAAAAATCAATTCCCTGTAGCTTTTTTCGGCTGGCCTAGAAATTAAAACTTTTAGCCCTTTCAGCAAGGGTAAAAATCGTGCTATACAACAACAGTAATGCCAGGGTTGGAGCCAATTGCCAACTTGAAAAAATAATCAAAAGTTTTTGGGGGACCAAAATTTTCTTTTCAAATCGATGACCGGGAAATTAATTTGGCCATTATTTCCGCTAGGGGAAAGTAAGGTTCTTCAAATTTATTGTATATAAAGCACATGCTATTCGCTTTGTAACAGCGTACGTAATCATGGCTGACGATCGATCTGGCGGCGTTGGCCCCAAAAACAAAAAAAAATCCCGAAGATTCAGATTTTTATGTTTTTAACGATCTCAATACCATAGTGTAGAATAAGCTTATTTTGGATAATTTTCCATTTACAGTAGGGCTCAAAATTGCCCTTAATGTGGCATACCCTTTGTGCCAAAGTAGCAATCAATTGCTTAAAATTTTACCTTGGATGTTTCAGGGTCAGCCCACATATTCAACTCTTTTGTTGAGAGAGTAGGCAAGATGTAGAGGGTGGACAGAGAAAAAAATTTTTTTGCCATATCTCTGCCGGTATAGATTGAAAAATTTTTGTGTTAAATTTTTGACAAGTCTCATAAATCTAAACCTGCAAAAATCACCTAAAAATCCCCTCAAAACCCCATTCTTTTCAACTCGAAAATAAAGATATCACAGAGGATCAACGTCAAGAGATTACGGAAATTAATTCCATCTGGATAAATATCGGATATCCCCGTGGCTTCAGGCGCAAAAAACAGTCCAAGCGGAAAGGCTTATACCTTTCATTTTTTCGACCGAAATTCAATCTCAAGTCCACTCAAACCTGTTGCGCAACGCTCGGATATCGCCGCTGCCCCGTCTAATTTGTTTCCCTTTAATTAGTAATTAAAATCTGAGCAAATTCAAACGAAAACAATTAAGATTTGGATGCGAAACAAATACGTTTTGGTTGCGGGCAAATAAACGGGCAATATCGACGTTAATTGTTGAGCGATTTGAAGGAAATGGCTGGGTTTAGTGGGTGAAACAGTAACTTTTGTGACTGAAAATTAATCAAAAAGACTGTGGATAGTAAAATGCAAGAGAATTGCAACTCTTTTCTGGCCGAAAATTACAAAAATAAGCGATCTAGCGCCAAAAATTTGAAAAGCTTAAAAATTTCATCAAAAAGGGTATTTATGGAAAAATTCTTATACATAGCTAGACATGGCTGGGGGGCCGGGCCGGGCCGAAAATCGGCCCGGGGGCCGGAAGGGGTCGGCCCGGCCCCGGCCCCCTTCAAATTTTCTCGGCCCGGCCCGGCCCCGGCCCCCAGGGGGCCGGGCCGGGCCGGGGGCCGACAGGGGGCCGAACTGTAAATATAAATACTGCATTCATTGCGAGATCTAACACATTTTTTTGGGGCTTTGGTAGTTCAGCTCCCTACGAAAGGTAGTTCATTTCTGTTTTTGTCCATTTCACACCCCCGTAATTAAAAAATTAGAATTATACAAAAAATGCAAATTAGAGTAAAATGACCCCAGGCGTTTTAGTTCAAAGCCCCAGTTACCGTCCAAATTCGTTTTTGTGGTTCAGGCAACGATGATCGTAGCCGAGGGAACCCAATCCCGAGTAGGCGCTTCAGATTGGATGAAGGGGTCCAGGGGGGCTGAACTGGGCTGGCGGGTTGTACTACCCAAGTCCCCATTTTTTTGTTATAACAATCGACAATAAATTTTTGAAACAAAAAATTACCAACCATTTCCTAAAGTACTTCAAAAAGCCCAATCGGTTCTTGGCTCTGCGTTTTATTTTTATTGGCAACCCTAATTTTAGAATTTTAGTCATTGGGGGCCGATTGGGGGCCTGGCGGGGGCCCCGGTCGGCCCGGCCCGGGGGCCGGAAGAGGTCGGCCCGGCCCCGGGGCCTTTAAAACTCGTTCGGCCCGGCCCACTAGCCATGTCTATACATAGCCATATAAAATGCTCCAGAAGTAAAGGATTCCAATTTTGCAAACAATCATCAAAAATTTTATCCGGCTAGAAATGCAAAAAAAAACTACCTCCCCGGCCGGGAATCGAACCCGGGTCTCGCACGTGACAGGCGCGGATACTTACCACTATACTACCGAGGAACACAGTTTCCTCTTCACCGATCCGAATGGCTTATGAGAATTTATAAAAAAAATATTTATATAATGAATTCCTTACAAAAACAGAATGAAAAATCAACAAACCAGGAAAAACATTTTTTTTTTGATATCACATTTCCCATTATC